CCCCCCCCCCCCCCCATCAACAGTCCCACCCCCCCACGGCACAGGCCCCAAAGCCCACCAACGCACCGAAGGCCCCAAGGCCAGGGCCGGGCGCCGGCGCACCCACCGGCCCAAGACCCCGGCAACATACCTGTCAAGGCCCGAGATCCCCGGACCAAGCCGGGAACCCCGCCCAGGAGCGATACCACCCCAGAACCCGCGCCCGCGTCCACCCCAGACCCACCCAGGGACAGCCAGGTCACCAGGCCAGTAACCCATGTCCGCCGGTACAGACCACCCAGAAGCCCGCATGCAGCCAGCACAGGCCATCACCCAGAACCACCAGAGCCACCTCCCCAGTCGGGCGCCACCGCTCCAGGCCCATGACCCCCCCCACGTCCCCAGCCCCGACACCCCACCCACACCGACCACCATGCCCCACGGGACAGAATCAAAGGGGACCACCCACCTCCACTACGTGTTGGAGCCGATTAAAGAAGTCCAGAGAGAATAGTCCGATGTGGGGGTACAGGCTGTCTCAAGACTGATGTAATCTAACAGAAGGTCTTTATACTGTTTAATACTAAGTGTATTTTTATTTTTCCAATTCATGAGTATAGTTTTCTTTGCTATACATAGGGCAGTGAGAATAATATGAATTGATTTTGTCTCCAAGGTGACATCATCTAAGTGGCCCAATAAGCAAACTGACGGAGAGAGTGGAATATTACATCTCAGACACTTTGATAAGTCTTCACATATCCGGCACCAAAACCTCTGAACAGGTGGACAGAACCAAAATGCGTGGATGTAATTGTCCGGAATATTGTCTGTACACTGTGAGCAAATATTAGATGATGCGAAACCCATCTTGAACATCCGTTGACCTGTATAGTGTACTCTATGAAGGATTTTGTATTGTATTAGTTGTAAATTCGAGTTTTTAGTCATCTTAAAAGTTCTCAGACAGATCTGCGACCAAAAGTTTTGGTCAAAATTAACTGACAAGTCTGTCTCCCATTTTACAATGGGAAGAGATATAGCTTCATCTATTTTACTGAGTTTCTGATAAACCTTAGATAGTAATTTGGGAGGGTTAAGATTAAGGAATTCTAATACACTTGTTGACATTTCAATCCTAGTGTTATTAAGGTTAAATTTATTTTTGGTTATAGATTTAATTTGTTGATATTCTAAAAAATTATTCTTATCAATCCCATATTGTGTAATTAATCTGTTAAATGGGATGTAGTCCACTTCTTCATATATATGTTCCAAATATTCAATTCCTTTACACCTCCAACCTGGGAAGTTTATCATCTTATTCTGTTGTAGGATGTCAGGGTTGTTCCAGATGGGTGTACGTTTACATGGGATTAGTGAAGACTCTGTCATTTTAAGAAACTTCCACCAAGCTGTCAGAGAGGAGCTGATATTGATGCTTTTAAAGCATTCCTGTCGTTTTATGTTTGAGCTAATGAATGGAAGGTCCGAGATCATTATATTATTGCAAAGTGTCTGTTCTACGTCTAGCCAGGGTTCATCAAGGGGTGTGTGTTTTATCCATCTTGAGATGTATTCTAGCCTGTTGGCTAGAAAATAATAATAAAAGTTGGGTAATTCTAGTCCTCCTTTATCTTTGGATTTCTGTAGTGTTTTTAATCTAATACGAGGGCGTTTATCTTTCCACAGAAATTTAGAAATAGAGGAGTCCAGGGATCTAAACCAGTCAGATGATGGTTTATTTGGGATCATTGAGAATAAATAATTTATTCTAGGCAAAACCATCATTTTTATTGATGCGATCCTTCCCATGAGAGATATGGGTAAAGATTTCCATCTAGCCAGATCATCCTCAATTTTCTTTAAAAGTGGGGTGTGGTTTAGTTTTGTTAAATCTGCTAATTTAGGCGAAACTTTGATACCCAAATATGTAATATTCCCTGATTGCAGTTGTGTAGTAAGTGAATTGTTGAAAGAGCAATTAATTGGTAGAACTGTGGATTTTAGCCAGTTTATAGAGTAATCTGAAACTTTTGAGAAGGAGTTTATCAGTCCAATAACCTGAGAGATGGAGGTTTGTGAATGCCAGAGGAAGAGCAGCACATCATCAGCATATAGACTGATTTTGTGCTCTATGTTCTTGCATTTTATGCCTTTAATATCTGTAGTTTGCCTGATTGCTGCGGCTAGCGGTTCGATGAAAATAGCAAACAGTGAGGGGGAGAGTGGACATCCCTGCCTGGTTCCCCTTTGCAGAGCAAAACTAGCAGATATTTGATTGTTTGTCCTAATGCATGCTGAAGGAGAACTGTATAATATTTGTAACCAATTTATGAAATAATTTCCAAAACCAAATTTATGTAAGGCTGCAAATAAAAATTTCCAGTTAACTCTATCAAAAGCTTTTTCTGCATCTAGAGAGAATATTGCAGTTTCAATATTTTTACTGTAAGAATAATCTATTAAATTAAATAATCTGCGTGAATTTGTGGCTGAATGTCTCCCTTTTATAAAACCAGTTTGGTCTGGATGTATTATTAGAGGAGTTACCTTTTCTAATCTTTTTGAGAGGGCTTTACAAATTATTTTAAGATCAACGTTGATAAGAGATATGGGACGATAACTGGTAGGTAATACAGGGTCTTTTTCTGGTTTTAACAGGAGACTAATGTTGGCAGAATTTATATTTTTTGGAAGACTGTTATTTTTCTCAGTTTCTTGTAGCATTTTGTGAAATAGTGGAGCCAGGATATTCCAGAATTCTTTATAGAACTCTGCTGGGAATCCATCTGGACCTGGAGCCTTTTTATTGGACATGCTTTTGAGGGCTTCCTGTTTTATTAAAAATACAACGAGAGGAGACATTGCCTTTAGCCCGGCGGACCCAGTCTGGGGATGTTCCAGCCGCAGCACGCGCGGCGCACAGTTACACGCTCCTTCTAGGTGTTTGTGTGTGGGAGGGGACGGAGGGACAGATGGTCATACTACGCACAGAGATTCTGCGCAGAGTCCTTCTCTTCTCCTCCTCTCCAAATATTGTCCTTACTCAGTGGAACTGTGCACTGAAAAACACCCTCTCTCTCCTTCTCTCAGACCCTTGAAACAGAAATGATCATTTATTCAACAGAATAAATAAATGCCCTGTGGACAGTGCACGTTACGCACAGAAACGTCTCCAGACAGCTCTAGTGCGAGCACATCATCAGGTGTCTGAACTCCTGCTACATTTCAGACATAATAAATAAAAAAAAGCTTACTGTAAAAATAAATTAAAAATACAAATATAAAAATGTTTCATGTGTCATTCACATTATACGTCACGTTTCAAAACAACGGTGCTAATTTGTCAAAATAACAACAGCAATCAAAATGTCAAAAAGACAGTCAAATTTAGTTTAATAAAAAATGGATGGATGGATTGTCCTTAGTTGGACAACAGAGAATTGAAACCTTCAGGTACTTCAAATGGTGCCACGAGACTGGAGCAAGAGTGTAAAAGAGTTCAGCTCAGAGCCTTGAAGTGAGGGGAGGGAGGAGGGGGGTTTAGGACACTTGACAGAATCAGAGCTGCTCATTCACACACAACCTGCTGTTCCTCTCCAAAATAGTAATTTTATTAAGTGTTTACAAATGTAGGTAAATGTTGATGTATAACAATCTGTTAAAATACCCCAAAATGCAAGAAATGGCATCTCTGTTATTCAAAAATGTCTTCTTCTTTCAGCTTTTCCTTGTTCAGGGGTCTCCACAGCGAGTCATCCTCCTCCATCTCACTCTGTTCTCTGCATCCTCTGTCCTCACTCCAGCTACCTCCATATCCTCTATAACTGTATCTATATTAGAGTTGCATTCGGGTCCAAAAAATCTGACCCAATCTGGCCCCAAACCCGTAGCTATCATTTCCGAACCCCACCCAATCTGACGAATTAACATTAATTACTGGTCTGACATGTCCAAACCACTGTCCCTTCTCTAGACATGTCCAAACCACTGTCCCTCTTCTGGACATGTCCAAACTATCTCAGTCTGGCTTCTCTAACTTTATCTCCCAGTTGTTCAACCTGTGCTGTACCTCTGATGATCTCATTCCTAATCTTATCCCTCCTTGTTACTCCTAAAGAGAACCTCAACATCTTCATTTCTGCTACTTCCAGTTCTTTCTCCTATCTTTTTGTCCATGTATTTGGAGAAGTCTGTGACTGTGTTCCTCAAGGCCATCTGTGGAGAGTACTGAGAGATTACGGGTTGACAAAGTCGTTTTTAACAATTCTTGTATAACTAAATATTATAGTTAAAATATAATATTTAAAAAATTAATTTTAAATTATTATAGATATTATAAATTTTTCATTTGACAGTACTATTTGTTGGGCTTCACTCTCAGCTACGATCTTACTATATTTCAGATCAATATCTCATATAATGCCAGAGTTATAGCCAATTTTGCGTTTTCTGAGGTAACTTTGGCAGCCATCTTGAACCAAAATGGCTCCAAAAGTTAATCAGTGTTTTTTCATAGACCTCTTCACTCTAAGTCATGTGACTTCACTATGGAAGTTAGAAGCTGTTACTTCTCAATGTTTTTCAATGAGAAAAATGATGTCTTTGTTGGCAAATTATGTCGCCATGATAACTCAAAATGCCAAGAAAAGTAACAGCACATGTCACGCTGCCAAGCCAGTCGTTTTGATATACCATTTGTGGGGGTACACATTGTGGTTTGGGTCGCATTAAAGTTGATATAAGAGCACAACCCTTGTCAGGTGAATAATATTAGGTGGCTGCCTTTCTAGGCAGTCCCCTAGTAGATAAAAAGTTGGCTTTGAATTGAAGATAATCTGTCCAGATAGAAAATTTGACCTATAAAATTTCTTGATAAATCTTTACAGATTATTTATTTTATTAAATGCTGATTAATTCAATGCTTTTTATTTCAGGTTGAGGAGGTCAAAAAGATGAAGATTGGTGATCCATTGGATCGCTCCACAGACCATGGGCCCCAGAATCACAAGGCACACATGGACAAATTGGTGGAGTATTGTCAGATTGGTGTAAAAGAAGGAGCCACTCTAGTCTGTGGTGGCAAACAGGTGCAGAGACCAGGTGAGGCAGCAGAAGCTTGAAACTACTACCACTTATGGGAATCCTTGATACATGATGTGGTCTTGGAGGTTTCTCACAAAAATCTGTCTTTAGCTGTTTTGTTGTACATTTGCCTCCAGGTTTCTTCTTTGAGCCCACAGTGTTTACTGATGTCCAAGACCATATGTACATTGCCAAAGAAGAATCATTTGGCCCAGTTATGATAATTTCGAAGTTTAATAGTGGGTAAGCTGAATTAAAAGTTGCTTTGAACATTTAACATCTCACATTACCCATTGCCTCAAGAATAACTTGCCTTTCATTCCTCTATTGCTTTAATTTAATCTGGTGTGGTTTCTCCTAACTTCCTTTAGTGACTTGGATGATGTTTTAAGGAGAGCCAATGCTACAGAGTATGGGTTGGCTTCTGGTGTTTTTACACAGGACATCAGCAAGGCTCTGTATGTGAGCGATAGGCTTAATGCTGGTACTGTTTTTGTTAACACCTACAACAAGACGGATGTGGCATCACCTTTCGGAGGCTTCAAGCAGTCTGGATTTGGCAAAGACCTGGGTGAGAAACACTTTAACTCTTATTGTGTACATTTTATATTTGTCTTTTTTCATTTTAATTTCCTATAAAGTAAACAGCAATGGCAGTCATGTGATCTTGACTTGGGTGAAGGCCCTTTTTAGAGATGACATCTCCAGAATAAACTATTTTACTGACCAAATTAAATTGTTAGAGTTGATCTGTAGTCCCTTGTATTTAAGGTAATGGTTAGGGCTTTGTCCAGTGTGAGGTCCTCCTCCAGTGCTAACTTATCCTCCACAGCACTAAATATTTTTGGGGTAGACATTTGTATACCGTAATGAACCGCTACACACATTTTACTAGCTTTGTTACATTTTCTGTAATTAAAACAGGTCATATGTTGTATGTTGCTTAAATTTTTTTGTGCACAATGGCATTACCTTTCTTTCTCCCTCATGTCAGTCAACGTTGTGACTCAGTTGTGTCAATAATATTTCACATTAACGAAGTTAAATGGGGGGAAAATTTTGAAAAAAACAACTGAAAATTATAAAAGTGAATTGGTGTTTCATACATACTGTATGTATTCAACTCTTTGCTTTAAAGCTACAACTATGATGCTCTGATGCCATATGATTATTTAAATAACATCTATCTGTTGGCTAACTACCGGTCCAGGGGCCTTTCTGGGTGGAGTTTGCATGTTCTCTCCGTGCATGCGTGGGTTTTCTCCGGGTGCTCCGGTTTCCTCCCACAGACCAAAAACATGCATGTTAGGCTGATTGGTAACTCTAAATTGTCCCTAGGTGTGAATGAGAGAGTGAATGGTTGTTTGTCTCTATGTGGCCCTGTAATGGACTTGCGACCCGTCCAGGGTGTACCCCGCCCCTCGCACAGTGATTGCTGGACATGGGCACCAGTGACCCCCGTGACCCAAAATGGAATAAGCGGGTAAAGATAATGGCTGGATGGATGGATGTTGGCTAACTAAGCTTAGAGACAGCAAATAGGCCTGTCATGTTGGAGACATTCTTCCATTGTATATCTCCCGTCTGTCTTTAGTTTTCTGTGTACAGTTGTCTGTCTGCTCTCAGCACCTGAAAGATAATTTACGTTCTAACAAAGTCTTACAAATTAACTTTTGAACAGAAACTGTTGGACACTGTAAGTTTTGCTGCAGATATTTCTGTATTTGATGAGATCACGAGTCTAATAAGGTCTAATGAGCTCAAACCAGCAGAATCTGTCCATTGGGTGGGGTTATTTTCACCCCAATGAGACTATATTGGAGCTGACAACAAAGTCCATGCTCAATAATCCAGGTATACAATCCAACATTTTTCAGTCAGGTCATCTGGACAGTTTCTTTTTTTTTGTGCTGAAACGTTTCACCTTCGGTCCGGAAGGCTTCATCAGTCAAGGAAACACACAACAAAACTGATTCTTCCCCCAACAGCTTACTCCAAAGTGGAACCGGCATTGGAGGAGGGGGCGTACCAAAGAGACCGTCTTATCACAAGCAGAACTGGTTTGTTCCACTTTGGAGTAAACTATTGGGGGAAGAATCAGTTTTGTTGTGTGTTTCCTTGACTGAGGAAGCCTTCCGGATCGAAGGCGAAACATTTCAGCATCAAAAAAACAAACTGTCCAGATGACCTGACTGAAAAATGTTGGATATATTGGAGCTGCCTGAAATTCTGATCACTGTCAACAGGACAATATGATAAATCTACCAATGGACATGGCTGATGATTTTTCCTTTTTTTTTAAATTCAACCTTTATTTATACAGGTTAATCCCATTGAGCCTTGGGGGCTCATTTACAAGAGAGACCTGATTTTAACAAAGAGTGAGGACAATAGTGGACAATAAAGACAACAATAGACAATCATAAAGGATGCGTATAAATTGAGTTTTTTTTTGTCCTGCCCATAACTTCAAAACAAAAGTAAAATTTAGGATTGAATTGAAAAGGGGCAGCAAAGTAGCTCAGTTGGTAGAGCTGCTGCCTCTCGGCGAGCAGGTTGCCCCGGTTAAAATCCCAGTCCTGGAATCTGGGTGGAGTTTGCTTGTTTTCTCCGTGCTGCGTGGGTTTTCTCTGGGTACTCCGGTTTCCTCCCACCGACCAAAAACATGCATGTTAGACTGATTCGTAACTCTAAATTGTCTCTAGGTGAGAGCGACAGAATGAATAGTTGTTTGTTTTGTTTGTCTCTATGTGTCCCTGTGATGGACTGGAGACCTGTCCAGGGTGTCCCCCGCCTCTTGTACAGTGACTGCTGGACATGGGCAGCAGTGACCCCCGTGACCCGAAAAGGAAGAAGCGGGTAAAATATTGGATGGATGGATATTCACCAAAATCCATTCTAAATTGCATTGAAAACAAATATGAAACAAGAAATAGCAAGCTAAATAATTATTAAATAATATTATTTATTACAAATTTATTTAATACTCTGTGGGGTGAATTATATTTGGGGGTGGGGGGGGGGGGGGGGTTGGGTGCTTATTGACCAGTCATGCAGTGTTCTCGAGCTTTTATGATGAGCATGTCTAAAATTTTTCACCACAATGTAAATAATATATTAGGCTCACCACCAATATTATGCAAAAAAGATGTTGGATATGTCCTTGTTGCCACTTTGTTTGTGGTGATTGAAATGAAATAGCAAACGGTATTTAAACTCAAAATCTTTATTTTAGAAACTGCCATTTTACCAAATGCCATTAAAGAATACAGTGTAGTACATCTAAAAAAGTTAAGTCTGGTCCTCTGGACATTCAAAAAACAAAACAAAGCAAAACAACAAAAAAAAAAAGTGTAGAAACGTTTCATCTTTCATCCGAAAGACTTCCTCAGTCTGAGGTGCTGTATTCAGCTCAGTCTTATAAATAGCACCTTCTCAGAGTAGATCAACCAGTTTGCTGCTGACAACCAAAACCAGCTGCTCACATGATCAAGAAGGACCATCAGCCTAACGATGGATCATTAGCACACCGATGGCTCTTTGCTATTCACAGGGGGCTGAGTGATACTAGCAATCACAGCATTGTAAGAGGGGGACAGTTGAACACGGAGGCCTCCACCCCTGTTTAATGATGGACGATTTCTTTTCACAAAGATAGCCTCCTTTACTCCTCACTCAAACCATCGTTCCTCTTTATCCACGATATGAACGTCTTCATCTCTGAACAAGTGACCGCTGGCCTGGAGATGAGTGTAGACCTCAGAGTCCTGGCCTGATGGTGTTGCTCTTCTGTGCTGGGCCATCCTTTTGGCCAGTGGCTGTTTTGTTTCCCCGATGTAAGACTGATCACAGCCCTCCTGACACTGAACAGCATACACAATATTACTCTGTTTGTGCCGGGGGACAGGATCTTTGGGATAAACCAGTCTTTGCCATTATATATTTTGGGGTTTAAAAGCCACTGGGACATTGTGTTTAGAAAATAAACGTCTCAGTTTCTCTGATGCTCCCGCAACATATGGAATGACTACTGGTCTGGGTCTGGCTTCCTCCTTTTTTACCTGATGGCTGACAAGAGTCCTGTTTGGGTTTCTTCTCTGCTGTCAGGAAGGCCCAGTTAGGATATACACATTGCACTAGAGCCTGTCTTGTGTGGGATTGTGATGTGCCTGGCTCGTGAGTTAGTGGAGACGCTGTCTGCTCTGTGGTACAGAGTCCTGACGACTTCTAACTTGTGCTCCAAAGGGTCATGGGAGTCAAACTGCAAATACTGGTCTGTGTGGGTGGGTTTGCGGTACACCTCAGTTTGCAAATGTCCTCTATCAGAGACTGAGACATCACAGTCCAAGAAAGCCAACCTGCCATTTTTTACATCTTCTCATGTGAACTTGATGTATTTATCCACAGAGTTGATGTGGTCAGTAAAATGTTGGACTTCCTGAGATTTAATTTTAACCCAGGTGTCATCAACATACCTGAACCAATGACTTGGTGGTGTCCCTGAAAAGGACGTCAAGGCTCTCTTTTCTACCTCGTCCATGTACAGGTTTGCAACAATAGGAGAAACTGGAGACCCCATAGCACACCCATGTTTCTGCCTATAATATTGCTCCCCATATGTGAAGTAGGTTGTCTGCAGGCACAGTTTCAAGAGTTGACACAGTTGTTCTGTGGAAAGCGTGGTCCTGCTGCTCAGAGTGGTGTCCGATTTTAATCTTAAACTGACCACCTCTACTGCCTCGTCAACAGGAATACACGTAAATGTGATGTGACATCAAAAGAGACCTTTGTTTCATCAGTCTCTATGATGACATCCCTCACCTTATCCACAAAGTCCATGGTGTTCTGTATGTGGTGTTCTGAGCTGCCAACTAAATCATGTGAGCAGCTGGTTTTGGTTGTCAGCAGCAAACTGGTTGATCCACTCTGAGAAGATGCTATTTATAAGACTGAGCTGAATACAGCACCTCAGACTGAAGAAGTCTTTCAGATGAAAGGCAAAACTTTTCTACAGTTTTTTTTGTTGTTGTTTTGCTTTGTTTTGTTTTTTGAATGTGCAGAGGACCAGACTTAACTTTTTTAGATTTTTCTACCTAGATTATTGAGCATGCATCAGGATGAAATGTAGTACCTCCTGTCTTTACATACACATATATATAAAACATTCTCTGTTATATTCTCTGTTATTTTTATATCTTGTGTGATTCCTTTTATATGTTCCTTTGTACTGAAACTCTGTAACAACAATTTCCTGCGGGATCAATAAAGTTCTATCTTATCTTATCTTATCTTATCTTATCTTATCTTATCTTATCTTATCTTATCTTATCTTATCTTATCTTATCTTATCTTAGAGCTGGACAATATGGCCAAAACTTTTATCACGATATATTTCTTAATTTAGGTCAATAACAGGGCAGCACGGTGGCACAACTGGTAGAGCTGCTGCCTCTCAATAAGCAGGTCCTTGGTTCAAACCCCAGTCCAGGGGCCTTTCTGGGTGGAGTTTGCATGTTCTCTCCGTGCATGCGTGGGTTTTCTCCGGGTACTCCGGTTTTCTCCCACAGACCAAAATCATGCATGTTAGGCTGATTGGTAACTCTAAATTGTCCCGAGGTGTGAGTGAGAGAGGGAATGTTTGTTTGTCTCGTTTGTCTCTGTGTCCCTGTGATGGACTTGCGACCCGTCCAGGGTGTACCCCACCCCTCGCACAGTGATTGCTGGACATGGGCACCAGCGACCCCCGTGACCCAAAATGGAACAAGCGGGTAAAGATAATGGATGGATGGATGGGTCAATAACAGCAGAATTCAATATCGATATAAACAATATAAAAGCCTCAGAAAAACTACAAACTATACAAATAAATTAATGTTCACCTTTTATTTGTATTAAGCCTTCAAAATATAATTGAAATCACCGTCAAATAAACATAAAATTCTCAACTTTGTCAGTTTTAATAGTTTTAACTTTAAACAACAACTTTAAATTGACAGCATTGAAATTCATAGTTAATTAAATAAAATTTTTGGGTGTCGTTATTGATGAGAAGCTGACATGGAAATCCATCCATCCATCTATTATCTTTTACCCGCTTACTCCATTTTGGGTCACGGGGGTCATGTCCTGCAATCATTATGCGAGGGGCGGGGTTCACCCTGGACAGGTCGCAAGTCCATCACAGGGGTACATAGAGACAAATGAGACAAACAACCATTCCCTCTCTCACTCACACCTAGTGACAATTCAGAGTTACCAATCAGCCTAACATGCATGTTTTTGGTCTGTAGGAGGAAACCAGAGTACCCGGAGAAAACCCATGCATGCACAGAGAGAACATGCAAACTCCACCCAGAATGGCCCCCGGACTGGGGGTTTGAACCAGGGACCTGCTCGCTGAGAGGCAGCAGCTCTATCAGTTGTGCCACGTGCTGCCCACAATTACAAATCCTATTTTTATTTTACAAAAAAGAGCTATAAGAATTATTAGTAGGAAGTGCTATGGTCATCCAACAAATAGAGTATATTATTTCATCAGCTGAAATTGTTAAAATTTGATGATTTGGTTGAATACAGTATTTTACAAGTCATGTTTAAAGCTCATAAAATATTACCCCCAAATATTCAATTAAAATTTGTTAAAAAACGAGAGTCAGTATAACCTTAAGGGAATGGAAATGTTTGTAAAACCTCCAATTAGAACTAGTCTGAAGGAGCGCTACATTGTAAATCAGGGAATAGGATTGTGGAATTGCATTGATATCACCATAAAAATTTCTAAAACAATTTATATATTTAAAAAGATGATTAAGTTAAAGTTGTTGGGAAAGTATAGTGCCAGGTGAAGGATACCTGTTTTTATTTGTGTGGTTTTTTTTTCAGTTTGGAGAATGTTCAAGTGAAAGTTATTGTTTGTAGTTATTTTGTATATATTTTTTTTTTAAATAAGGGGCAGATAATAATTTTTTTATTCTTTCTGCACACTTTTCATTCAAAGTTTTTTTTTTATTTCTGATAATTTTGTTTTATTTTAAATGATAGAATAAATGATTTTTTTTTTAAATGCAGTGCTGGGGATATTGTTTCAGGGACACATTGGCTCAAACTTTTATTGTGTTTCATCTTGTGACTCTCAGCATATACTATCAAGTGGAACAAGTTAGATGTGTTCCCACTGCTAGTTAGAACGAGTCTTCGTCACATTTTGCAGCACACTGAAACATGCAATTTATTGGATCTTAGAAAGCTGAACCACTTCCAAACTGGCAAATTAGTCTTTCTTCTCTTATCAGTTATGTCATCTGCTTTCTCTTCGCTTGTGAAACCTTGTTCAGTCACATTTTGATGGTCATGGGCATTCATTTTGCAGCAAAAACTTAATGTGCATTGGACATTAGCTTAGCTTAGCCTGCTACCGCTAACGCCTTCTAGACTCCAGCTCTGCGTAATATCTGTCACCACATGCTTACGTAATTTTAGCTCAACTTTTTCTGTTTGGGTTGAAACTGAAGCGGCCGCTTCAACCTGAACAGAAAAAGGAATGCGTCAGTGAAACGATGTAATCCTATTGAAATATCGAAAATGTGCTTAAAACACATATTGTTATTGAATAAAAGTATATCGTGAGATACATCGATATTGAATTATTGTCCAGCACTATCTTATCTTACTCTGTTTTTCTACTGTTCTCACACAGTTTCTTTTCCCTTTGCTGTCTCAATAGCACCCTCTCGCCATACATTGTCTGACAATTCCCAGTACACTATCATATTGCTACAATAAAATATGGTGTAGCAGCCATTTTGTTAGTAACATATGTATTACAGCAGTGGTTTCCAACACTGGTCCTTGAGGAACACCATCCTGCATGTTTTAGTTGTTTCTCTGCTCCAACGCACCTGATTCAGTGATTTAATTACTTCATCCATTTGGGCCAAAGCCTGTTAATCCTCCATTCTTTCAAATCAGGTGTGTCAAAGCAGGGAAACAAAACATGCAAAATGGCGTTCCTCAAGGACCAGGGTTGGGAACCATTGTATTACACAATAGTGCACAAACTCAAACCATTAGTGTGACTCTGTTCCGTGCAAGTAACAAACCTGCCTGTGGTTTCTAAAAGAGCAGTAGGCAGTAAACTGATGTGGAATCCTAAATATGTTTACTGTTTGTTTATTCGACAGGACAAGAGGCTCTCAATGAATACCTGAAGACCAAAGCAGTGACCATTGAGTACTAGGTTGCCCTAGAACAGAGGATGTTGAGCTGGAGGCATCAGACAGAGATGTGGGGGGTGAAACATGTAATGATGCAGATCATACAAAGTGATATCACTCCCCGTATGTGCCGTAACATGCTAACTATCGTAACGTGTTTATTTAGTCCAACTTCTCAGATGATGAGCCAAAATAAATTGTACGAAAATATTGTCCAAAGGTTTGTGTCCTAAAAAATGTTATGTTCCATTCCCTGGTCAGCAATAAAAATCACAGAGCACCTCATTGTTGCAGAGCTCTTCTTTGCATCTTCCAGTAAAGGTTTTTGATTGTTGTAGTTTTGGTTTAATTTTAAAACTATACTCCAATCCTATGTACTGCTAACAGTTATATTCCATGTATTTTATCACCTTCATTTGATGCATGCAAAACAAAACAGCATTCAGTATCAGTTCTCGTTATCATTTAGCTCTAAAAATTTTTGAAGCAAAAACAAAAATAAATTCAAGCTGCAAGCAGCATTCAAGGCCTTCGCAGCAAAGTGCCGCTCCGGCCTTATGGCAACCGCAGGAGCTCCAGCCACTCCGCCCAGTCACCATCGCAAATGCTCTCGTGCCTGACCCACGCCTGTTTGCTGGGGTGCGCATTAGCCGAACCTTTGACATCACCCACAACTGCAGGTGCTCCTGCAATGCCACCCAGATGCTATCATGAACGTTCTCATGCCATTCCCACACACGTCCACCAGGGTGCGCATATGCCTAAACTTTGCAATTGCCTTCCGCCCATATCAGTATGAGAAAGTGTGCAATTGAGTCATGTTAAATCACAATATCAATGTGTTTAGATGTGCTCACCGATTACGCACCAAAAATCTGGTTCTGATCAGATGATAATTCACTGAGATATAACTGTTGGAATAATCGAGGGGGCGGACTTGAGTCAAATGTTAAAGAGCAATACCAATGTGTCTATAAGTGCTCACTGATCACGCACAATAAATCTGGAACATATTGGATGGTATTTCACTGAGATATAACTGTTGGAATAATGTAGGGGTACACTAGAGTCAAACGTTATACGACAATATCAATGTGTCTAGAAGTGCTCACTAATGACGCACCAAAAATTTGTTGCAGATCGGATGCTACATCACTAAGAAATAACTTTTAAAATAATCTATGGGGTGCTCATGAGTCAAATGTTAAACAACAATCCCAATGTGTGTAGAATGGTTCACTGATCACGCACAATAAATCTAGTACAAATTGGACGATATATAACTGAGATATTACTGTTTGAATAATGTAGGGGGCGCAAAGGAGTCCAATGTTAAAGAACTATAACAATGTGCCTAGAAGTGCTAACTGATCATCCACAATAAATCTGGTACACATTGGATGATATTTTACTGAGATATAACTGTTGGAATAATCTAGGGGGCGCACTGGAGTCAAAATAAAAAAAGCAATACCAATGTGTCTAGAAGTGCTCACTAATGACGCACCAAAAATCTGGTGCAGATCGGATGATTAATCGAGATATAACTGATTAAATAATCTAGGGGGCACACTTGAGTCATATGTTAAACCAAAATATCAATGTGTCTACACGTGTTTACCGATTGCGCACCAAAAATCTGGTTCCGATCAGATAATGTAAAACCGAGATATAACTGTTGGAATATTCTAGGGGCGCACTTGAGTCAAACGTTAAAGAACAATTCTAATGTGTCTATAAGTGTTCACTGATCATGTACAATAAATCTGGTACATATTGGATGATAGTTCACTGAGATATATCTGTTGGAATATTCTAGGGGGTGCACTTGAGTAAAATGTTAAACAACAATATCAATGTGTCCATAGGTGCTCACTAATGACACACCCAAAATCTGGTTCAGATCGGATGTTGTATCACTGAGATATAACTGTTGGAAGAATGTAGGTGGCGCTATGGAAGCTATTGGTCACTTATCATGGATACCTGTTCAAGGGGTGAATAATGATCGATCATAGTGATTTTGGTGCACCTCGGCTCAAATATGTACAATTTAGAGCTAAATGTATTGCAACAGCATCACTTCTTAATTCGCCACGCCGCCACGCCCACATCCTCCAGCTATAACTGTTTGTAATTTAAATCAAGTCAGACCATCTTATCTGTCTTCTAACACAGGCTCATCCTGATTAGGTCAAGGGTGTCAAAGAGGGAGCATTCCAATTAAAAAAAAGACTTCCTGCTCTTAGGGGGCAGGGCTTTCCTGATGTCAGAATATTACTACAGTGGCTGGTCGGGTATCCAATAGTGATGAGTCATGCCAAATTTGTTACATTTCGGTCTTTCAGTGTGAAAGTCATAGCATTTGTAAATTTATGGTGTGAAACACATCTTTGAGGCCTGGTCACACCCCTTTAACCTAAACAAAACCGAAAGCTTTTGACAAATTTTACTCTCCAATGTCTTAAGGGCATATTAACCAAGTTTGAAGGCAATCACTCAAAATCCCTAGGAGGAGTTTGTCAAAATTGTCAATTAGAAAAGCCCAAAAATGACCCTTTGACCCAAAATGGCCGACTTCCTGTTGAGTTTGGACCAGGGCTGCAAGAGACATTTTCATAGGTCCTGACAAGATACAGATGTTCACCGAGTTTCAGCATTATCGGTCAACAAAATGGCTTGGGGCTGAGGTTTTAAAATATTCTAGGGGGCGCTGTGGAGGCTATTGGGCAATTATCATGGCTTCCTGTTCAAGGGGTGGATAATGATCGATCATACTGATTTTGGTGAACCGCAGTTCAAATCTGTGGAATTTAGAGCCAAACGTATGGCGCTGGCGTTATGTCTTGCTTAGCCACGTCGTGACGCCCACATGCTCCACCCCAAACTGTCAGTGCTGGAAAGCAAGTTACACCCACATGGCTTCGGTCATTGGACACACTCTCATGCTGATCAGGTGACAAGGGTCAGATAGGGACCGTTCAACGTAAAACTTTACACTTCCTGTTGTCAAGGGGCGTGGCTTAAGTGATGTTATGATTTGACCATTCAGTCTTGCAGGGTTGTGGATCAATCACTGAAGATTTGATGTCTCAGACAGTTTTTGTGTAGGAGGTATTAGCGTTTTGTTTTTTATGGTAAAATGTCCAACTTTGAGGTCTGGTCCCTCCCCTTCAGCATGCTTCAGTTTGCACCGTTTTGATAACTTTTCGTCCCCCATGCCTTTTGACCAAAATGGCCAAGTTTGAAACCGATTGAGCGAAATTCTTAGGAGGAGTTCATTCAAATACGGAGGCTGTAAACCACCAAAAAGGTGTGAAAATTGGGACGACATTCGAAAATGGCCACATTCCTGTTTATCATACAACGTTTGGGCCAGACGGTTTTCTGTGCATCTTGGAGAATTGGACAAGTGTACCAAATTTCATGTTTCTACGACTAACTAAGGTTAATGCAGAGGGTATTTTGAATATTTCCAGGTGGTGCTCTTGAGCGTTTCTGTTGTGATTTTTGCCACACCCTTAAAATACGTAAATTTTCACCAGTCCTGACGCGTCTGCCAAATTTGGTGACTTTTGTGATATGATAAGGCCCCCAAAAGGCCAATTCATTTGATGGAAAAAATTACAGCTGTAGTGAACTAAGCCTCAGGTCAAAACCTGGACCTTCGTGGGACA